CTCCCAGGCTCCATGTCCCACCCTCTATCTCATTGTGCCCTGCTCAGATTGCTGCATGCTTCGTGCACAGTGCTGCACACAGTGGACTCAGGAAGAAAATAAAGTTCAAATCCCAACACCTAAAGGAAAGACTAAAACTGTCCTTGCAGGGAAACAGCCAGGGGGAAAGCCAACCCCACATAGGAGCCAGCAACCCTCTTTCCAAAGCCCTAAATCTCCAGCATACACTGGAAACCCGGTTCTGACCAGGGTAGGACAGTGGCACCCAGACTCTCAGTCTCTCTGTGCCAATCCAGAGCCACCCCGTCTTCTCCCCTGCCTACATCACCTGTATAACTACCTAATACTTACATAAAAAGTTAAAAAGTTTGAGGGTCAGGGAGATTGCTCAGTAGAATAAGCGCTTGCCTGGTAAGTGCAAGGGCCTGAGTTCAATCCCTTGTTTCTCAAAAAAAAAAAAAAATGTTTGAAAGTTTGTCTTACAAAATCTAATCTATAGCAGAGGTAATGTTTACATTCTTTTTGTATTTCTCTCCATATTGAATTCTTCCTGCCATTTCATTTCCTAAAAAAGATAGTATCAGGTAATATACTGGTAACTTTTTATCTTTATTGAAATCACATAAAGCTATATCCGTCCACCCAAGAGTACATGAAGCATTCCAGTTTGAATTTGACTCTTAATTCGTATCAGACTGGTAGAAAATTCATTGGCTGTCATTAGTTTGGAAGGGCAAAGTTCTCTTTTCTCAGAGCTTGAATGAGGATCCAAACTTATATGTAGTATCTAGGAAATTGGCCCTCACATCTTTAGACTGGGCTACTCATTAGTTATAACCTCATTGTCTAAAATGCAGTCTTTTAGAGGCAGGCAGGTCTACTGATATACCAGCGTGGGATTAGGAAATATTTGCTTAGTTTCCATAGGCGCCAAGCCTGGGCAGAGCAACCACGTCCAGTAGGCAGACTGTTCTTTGTGAAAGGACGCCTGTTTGGGGGAATGCACAGGAGCTGAAATCCAGCTCATAATCACCACTTACCGAACTCCATTTCCACAGGGCTACAGTAACTGTCCTCCACACAGCGCGGCAGGCAGGGACCCTGCTCTCTGCTCCCGACTCCCTGGGCCCCAGCCCAACCTCCCATCCCTCTCTTTCCTTCACGGTCCAGGCTGAAGAAAGCTAATACAGATTTCAAGAAATTTACCTCCCTAATCTTGGGGAAAGTCATATTTCTCATTTTTAGTGTTCTCTTTCAAATACTTTTGGAGGTTGGGAGTGTGGTTCAGGTAGAGCTTGTGGTTGACAGCTGTGAACCCCTAAGCTCAGTTCTCAGCACATAAAATGAAAGTAGAAATAAGATAAAATAAAAATGTTGACTTTTGAAACCTCTTCTCTTGGACATCTCAGACAACTCTCTTCTGGTTGCTTACACTTTTACAGAAGACAGGGAAGGACGAGGCCTCTCGAGGACCTCTTCTCTGTACTCTTGCAAGTGTTCATGAAGAAGAAAATGCTTGTCTGCTCTCAAAATTGAAAGGGGAGGGCATGGGAGGGAAGATAAATAAATAAATGAAGAGAGCAAGACACAAGGTCCTGTCATTCAGTTTGGTGTGAAATATTAAGGAAAATAACAAGTTGTTGCTTCCCTCCAAGCATGCTAGAAATTATATAAAAGTTTGTAAAGGTTGGAAAGACAAAACTTTTAAATTACTTTCTTCATATCGTTTATAAAAAATTTCTTCTTTATTTTATATGTGCTATTGCTCTGTTTAATTTTTAGATAAATTAAATTTATATTTAGGGAGAGGGCTCAATGTTAGAGTAACATAATTTAAATTTATAAGTTGTTTATATGTTTAATATATTTCTCTGTTAATCAAGTTTACAACTTACAAAAGAACCAATAGAAAACCTTTCTGTTTTGAATATAGTTTTGTTAATTTGTTGAGTAATCTGAATGAAATGACAGATGTAAAAGATAGAAAAATATATAAAGTCTTTATATTTTGGTGCTATACATTACAAAGAATGAAGGCTTAATTTTATGACCATTAATTTCTAGAAAGCAGAAAAGGTTTCAGACAGGAGCACCTTCGAGGATGTGTTTTTAGTATGTATTGCATACCTCTGATACACAGTAGAAATCACAGATCTTTCAGATTTTAAAACTCAGAAGAAAGTACCAGCTCATTGTTGTGAAATATTAAGGAGCCATTACAGTTATTGTTTTCTATACAAGACAGTTCTTACTGAGAAGCATGAAGATGTGACAGGCAAAGACCACATTTGCCATTCATGATGGGAGCTGAAGTAGACAGGCATTATTCAAATTAAAAGAATATTTAATTAAAACAAATACTGCTTTTGATTTTGGGTAAACACAGAAAGCATGTTACTCCCTTTTTATTGTGAAACAAGTGCTGCATAGTAACATTCCACTTTAATAGCACGAGTGGGGTTGAGTGAATATACAATATTTTCTTAAAATTCTTCATTCTTAAAAAAAAAATGTCATAGGACTGTCCTGCTACAATGGTGTATATGGTTAGATTTCTAAATTTCTGTATAAAAATATGTAATAGTTTATTCCTATTTTTAAAAAATATTTTTCTTTCTTTCTTTTTTTTTTTTTTTTTCTTCACATACTGTAGGGATTTAAAGTTTAACATATCGGTACTTGATGGAAAATACCTGTTGCATGCTATGTAGAGATGTTTGATATGCAGACAGATAGTGAGGTTAAGCTCAACTGCCTATTTTGTAGGGTAATAATATCATTAAACTTCTCTTCTGGAGGGTTAACAACTTAAGTTTGCAGACCAAAAATTAGAGAAAAAGAAGGGCTGCAAGGACAGCCAAAAGGTCAGTGAGGGCTCAGGACATAGGAGAACCTGTACTGTAACATCCTGTAACTCAGTGGTGTCCCAGATTTTTTGATCAAGGAGGTTATGGGGCCACAGAGGAAAGTGACCGATGATGTAGAGTGTGCCTAAGGAGAGTCACATGGAGAGAAAACATGCTCTCAGGCTTTCACAGAGAGCAAATTGGTTAGGTAATGGCCGTGACTCATCCACATGGCTGACACTGACAAAGGATCTGCAAACTGTGGTACAGGGTTTCAGGGTAAATCCTGAGAGGATTTGACTGATCTAACCAGATACAAAAGTTACATTTCTTGTTATATAGGTCTTACTGTATCTTAGTCTTAACCATCCAGCAGAAAAGTATAAAAACGAGGTATATAAAGTAAAGCCATATTAATATGCTGAACTGTAAAAGGCTCAAGTCAACAACTTCTGACATTGCCAGTCCTACAGATAACATACTACTGTTGTGGACTTCTGGACTGTTTTGGATTGTTTTGCTCAATTCAAGCACCTCTAGTATTTAGATGCCAATGGAATACCCATCTCTGACAAAACTAAACAAAAAAGGAGATATAAATGAAGGGCCATTTTTTATCTATATATACAAAATAGGATAGATATACAGCTACTTTCTCTTAATTCAATGAGAAGAAAGATTTGTACTAAAAGTTTTTGAGCAGGATATCACATGTACATCTTGTACTATGAATAACTACTACAAAGACAACAGTATGCAATGTATTAATTATTGAAACTGTCCTACTAATCAGTTTTGAAACTGTCTCATTGCTGTTTGTTTCTCAGTAAAATTAATTTAAAAATTCCTCATTCTTGGCACTTATTGAATATAGGCTTTAGCAAATTAGTAGTACAAAGTTATAAAGTATCATCTTCTTACTGATGTGAATAACTGTACCATATTTTGTACAAATTATTTTTATATTATGATAATTACATACATTATATGCACTGTTTTTATTTTCAGGAAAACTGTGGTTTTCTTATCATGAGGGAACCAAAGGTTTATTATGTAGGGTTTTTTCTTTTTTAAAATCACTTGGAATATGTATTTAAAGCTTATTTTAAACATTTAGCTCTTTTCTGCTTAAGTAGAACCCATGTTATTTGCTGATTAAGGACATAGGCTTTAAAGTTAGTGAATTCTTGGTAATATATTTATAGGGTAACTTTTATGAGAACGCTCTCTAATTTCATGTGTGGTTAAGCTTTCAACAAAGTTCTTCCTTTAATTTTTTTTAAAATAATGATCAGGTGGTGATTTGGAGGACAAGCTCATTTCTAATCTGCTTGGTTAATTATTATGATTGTAAACAAAAGATGTACAATTCAAAGACAAGCAACATTTCACGTGGGTGATGGAAGTGATAATGGCTTAATTCCTGCTGGATCTTTTTTCTCTGCTCTGGCAAGTTCGTACTGACCTTGTCCAAAATCTGATGACCTCCCTATTTTACTCAACTGTTTGGAAGCCAGGCCTGCCATAGCTGGCCCTGAGGGGGTATCTGAAAGACCACTGAGTCAGTGACCCATGTCAAGACTGGATTTCAAGTCTGATCTGCAGGCCTCTGAGTTAGTTATATATGGGGCTTGTTGCACACAAAAGCCTAATGGGCTGCATTTTTCTGCTTATTAAATGTCCTACTAAAGAGTCATTATTAGAATCATATTTAACTTAATGTTTCTTATGCACATCATTTTTTAAACTATAAAGTTTGATCTATCAGAATTAGTATCTTAAAACTAAAACAAGTTTTGAAATGTGATGAAAGTATATTTTAAAATCTATTTTAGGCTTTTGGTACACATGGTCTTTGTATATCTTGTCAAATCTCAATGATTACTCAAATATTGGTATTTAATAGTTTTGATGATATGAAACATGTCTTGAAGGAAAGCCTATATTTATATGTAAAGCATTACATGTTATTTAACTTTTGTTAGATAGAATCTGTTTACCTTAGTATAAATACGTTGATAGGGCTATGACATGAAAAAAATTCCCCATACTGACTTTGTTATTCTGCATTGGAGTAGTAATTAGGCCCACTAATGGGTATCTAGTTAGTGTTCTATATCTTATAGTATAATATTGTCTTGTATTTTTATATAGGAGCTGATTCCTGAATTTTATTATCTTCCTGAGATGTTTGTCAACTTCAATAATTATAATCTTGGAGTGATGGATGATGGGACAGTAGTGTCTGATGTTGAACTTCCTCCTTGGGCCAAAACCTCTGAAGAATTTGTTCGCATAAACAGATTGGTAAGATACTAATCAGCCACTCTGTCATGAACTTGTCCTCAGTTTATCTTTCATCTATTGGTGTTTAGTCACTAACCCTTGATTCTCTTTATAAAGCTATACTTGATAGGAATAGTTCAAAATGACACACTTCACTAACTGCCATACAAACTTTATAAGATTTTATTAAATTGAAAGATATAATGGCTTATTTTATTCTTTGATGCAAAATTTAGGTTACTTTCATATACAATTCAAAATTTCGAGGGGAAGATATACATGAAACTGGAACTATTTGCCTTTTCAAATATGAGTTTGTGTTGGCAAGAAAGGGACATAATTTTGTAGTCTAGATTAGAAGAAGGTCCTCTCATATTTTGATAACCAAAATATCATCAAATTGTATCCTGTGTCTTTCTTTTGAAAAGAATCTTCACATCATATTTAGAATACAAAAAATTAAAAGCATATGGCTTTTTAATTTACAAGCACTTCCTTAGTTTCATCTTTAATGTATCATCATTAATATCTGCTGTTTGGGCTCTGTTGTATTTTCTGAGAAAGTAGGATAACTTTTCTCTTTTTTTCTTCTGAAATTTCATAAAAGGAATGAGGGAGCTATATTCTCTGTTTAAAAGTTGTCCCTCTATCATATAAAATTCCAATTTCATTGTGTTTAATTTTTAATTAAACAAGGGAAATCACAGCACTTTGGTTTTCTTGGTGACATCCCTTAACTTTCGTACTATACTGTCATACTATAACATTCTAATTTTACCTTTCAGATCTTAAATTCATCTCACTGTTTCAGAAATTTCATATTTTATACCTACTGGAAACAATGTAAGGGAGTGGAAAGGATGTAGGCCTTGGATGTAGGCTAGACTTCTCAGCAGGAACCTAGCCCATTGTTGATTATGGGTATTTAGATATTTTAACCTTTCTGAAGCATGGTTGCCTCATTTGTAAGGTTGGCCTAATTAGTAGAAATTGTAATTTTTATGTGTGAAATATGCATGTTCTCTGATAAGTGAGGTGCTCCGATATCTAATATTGTATCATTATATATATATATATATATATATATATATATATATTGCGTATGTGTATGTACACACACACACACACATGTTTGTTCTAAGCATTTTTGAAGACACTCACTATGTTGCTGTGAGTAAAATGAGAACTCAAGACAAAGCTGAGCTTTGAAAGCTACTGAAGGAGGTGTCAAACTTTTACAAGATAGTTGTCATAAAAAAAACAAGATAGTTGTCCATGGTTATATGGTCTTCCCCAGGGGCATGCAGAAGTGAAAAAAAGATACATTTAAACTGTATATTTTTTTCTTTTAGTGATTATCCTTTTAAAATAGACTTACTGAGGTATGCTTAACCGTAAAATTAAGCTTTTTTATTTTACTTTTATTTATTTTATTTTGTATTTTTGTACTTTTTAGGGAAGAATCTACAGGGTGTTCAGGGTCTCACTACTAGATCAGACTCATAGTGATTCTCCCGTTCACAGCCTCCCAAGTGCTGGGATTACAGGTGCGCACCACCACACCCAGTCTCAGTTGCTGTCTCAGCACACCCTGGGGGTGGGCTGGCATGGCAGGCCCGAGGATTGAACCCCTGGCCCCTGGACCTGCTTGCAGGTGCTTTAATGTGCCGAGCTACTTGGCTGGTCCTAAGCTTTTTTTAAAGGTATAGAATTCAGCATGTTTTAACAGATTCATAGAGTTGTGCAGCTATCACTATAATCCAGTTCCAAATGCTTTCCTAGTTGCTTACAAGCAGCTTCTGTCCCTAGCCCTAGCCCTGGGCAGCCAGGGACTCTCTATAGTTTTGCTTTTCAAGCAGATTTGTAGTAATGACATCCTACCACATGTGGCCTTTTCTTTCTGGCTTCTTGGAGTTAGCATGATGTTTTTTGAGATTCATCCATATTGTTACTAGATATAGCAGTATTTAATTTATTAGTATTTTTTTCACAGTATTTTGTTGAATAGATATACTACAATTTGTATATTGCTTTTAGTAATAATGAATGTTTGCGTATAAGTCTTAGCATAAACATCTTTCTTCATTTCTATTGGCTAGATTACTAGAGGTAGAATTCTTGAGTTATGTATTAAGAATATGTTCACTATACATGCCTTTCTGTTCTCCCAACAACGTGTGAAGTTTCCATTTTTCTGTATGTTAGAAAGACTTGATATTCTTAATTTAGTTATTTTAGCCATTCTTATTGGTCAGTTAATTTACACAACTCTAATGAATAATATTGGTATTTTTTAAATTAATTTTATTGAGAAACAAATAGCAATGAGACAGTTTCAACACTGATTAGTAGGACAGTTTCAATAATTAATACATTGCATATTATTGTCTTCATAGTGGTTATTCATAGTACAAAATGCAGACATGATATCCTGTCTAAACACTATTAGTACAAATCTTTCTTCTCATTGAATTAAGAGAAAATAGCTGTATATATATCCTAACTATTTTGTATATACAGATACAAAAGAGTTCTTCATTAATATCCCCTTTTTGTTTAGTTTTGTCAGAGATGGATAGTCCATTGCCATTTAAATATGGCCTTTTTGTTTATAGACCTGCTACTCATATATGTTATGTAGTGAACTATAAAAATCTCCTTACTTATTTTTAAATTTGACTTTTTTATTGAATTGCAGTAAGCATTTATATATCTTTATAAAAGTCTTCTACCCAATGTAGACTTTGCAAATATTTTTAAAATACTTTGTGTCTTCTCTTCATTCTTTAATGGTATCATATGACTCATTCTCTCGTATCAATTGATGGAGGAGGCTGTAAGTGTAGTTCTGTGGTAAGGTGTTAGCTTAGCATGCCTGAAGTCCTGAGTTTCATCCCCAGCACATTAAAAAGTTTGAATTGAATATTACATATAAAATTATACTTATGTACAATATGAAATAGAAGATCTCTATTCTTTAGAATATATTTATAAGAAAAAATGAAATTATATGATGGTTATTACTGAAGCATTTTTTTCTTAAATGTAAGTGTCAGACTAGGGATACAGCTTAGTGGTAGAATGCTAACTAGCATGCATGAGGCTTTAGGGTCAATCCCCAGAACATCTCAAAAATATAAGTAAAAATTTTAAGTCTCAATGGAACAAGCTCTTCATGAATCATTGCCACAATTAGTATTACTAGAATTACACCAAGAGATTTGTTAGTTTTATTTCATATTAAAGGAAATCAAACATTTGAGTAAGTTATATTTCCATTTTTTCAATCAGAGCTTGACAATTAAGGAAATTTTATTAACTTTAATCACTCTACTAACAATAGCTTTATCTTTGCCCCAGTTTTCTCCACAAAAGAGCCAGGTCTTTTTTTGATGGGTGTTCTAAGTACACCAAGGAAAAGAAGATTGCAGTTTATAAAAAATGATTTCTGGTCAGATTTGGGTTTTTGGTTGCCCATACTCTAAACTCAGATAGGACCTGGAAATAATATACAAAATAATATGTAATAGTTTTAACTGTGGATTTATTATAACCCATTGTTAGATTTTACTTATTCATTTTCCCAGTGATTCCTACTCCAGTAAATTTTCTAGGTGCCTTTATGCTTTAAGCTTACAATTAGCTCACATTCTCAGACAGAATTGCATAAAAATTCACTGCAAATCGGGTACAAATATAGTTTAGATTTGGCTATATATATCTTATTGTAACTCATAATTAGGAAATATGCTTAGTTTCACATACATGTCTTTATGAAAGGATTTTATAATTCAGCCATCCAAAACTATTTATCATATACTTATGATGAACAAAGCTTTCTACAATACAGTCCACACTGATGCATTTTATAATTTCCTGTTAGCTTTCTATCAGTGACTAAATGGTTAGTGAGGTATTTTATGTATCTGTTAGCATGTTATCACATAAGGGTTTTATCCCCCTCCTCTGCTTGCTTTTCCTCTTCAAGTCCGCAGATTTTATGCAATGATTGTAGCTCATGAAATGCATACTACTTTGATCTGTGACCTTTTTGTGGTGCTAATCGGGTTCCTGATATCATTATACCTTACTCATTAATCATATTTCCTGCAGCCCGTCAGGCAGCCAGACAGCACAAGTCCCTGTTTCCAGCCCTCTGTTGGCAGGTTTCTGCTTTTCCAGATTATTACAGACGATACTTTGGCTTCTCATAGCCAAAGCCACATCAAGCTGTGTGTTACAATTAAAGTCAGATGGTCCTCAGGTTGAACAGGGATATAGTATTGCAGCTGTCTCTCTTCCTGGGACAAACCAGCAATAAGAACAGATGATCTATGGGACGGTGAATAATAACAGATTGTACAGTACTCTGTTGGTAGAAGGGGAGCTCAGAATTAATTAACTGACATACTTAATTTAAGATACTTAGCATGCCTTTTTAAAGTATTTGGTTGCCAAATATCAATTTAAAGGATAGGGTACTTTTAGAGGCATGATTTTGTGTTGGGCCCAGAACTATTGCATTTTCTAGTTGGATCAGAAGAGTGTGTGAACAAACCATTTCCATCCTCAAAGCTTTTTTCAAGTGACGGTGATCCAAATGTAGAATTGCTACATTGGCTAAGTGATGGACATGTGGAGAGAAGATGTGTCTTACACTTTTTAGAAGGCAAACGTAACAAAGTGTGAGCAGTTTTTTTTAAGGCAAATAAGGTGTGTTTTCTTTGCTCATAGCAATTGGAATCAGGTTAAAGCAAGACATTATTAATTATAGCCCTGAGATTGGTCTGTGTTACCTGAACTGGGCCAGGGAGGGCATTTTTATTCCAAATATTGCTTTATAAATATAAATGAGAAACAGACTTTCATACTTTAAAATAATAAAACATTGCATGAGGTGAGAGTGCTCAGCATGTATCTTTTATGATATAATGTCTGTGTACTATATTGCTTCTCATAACCCTGAAGTTTTAGTTGAACAAGAGGCAAAGAAGACCACACTCTGAACAGTAATAATAGGA